CTGAAGGCAAAAGGGGATCCAACCCGTTACTAGCGTGGTGTACCTAATAAAGTGGCCGGTGAGTGTAGATGGAGGACAACAGAGCTGCTTCATGGAAGAAGAACCTCAACTTAGCCTGTTAGCCTTCGTGCTAGCCCTCACGCTGTATTGCCTTATATGTATTAGCGCAGTGCTACACATTCTCCTCTCGTCCCTGAGGTCCTCCATCCACATGACAGAGAGGGGAAGACAAAAATGACTCAGCCTGTAATTGAAAATATGTATGAAGGACCTCAGTTTAGCTTATTTGTCGCTCTAGCGCTGAGCTAATACATATAAGGCAATATAGCATCGTAGCTGACAACATAACTGTAGCAGGTAGGAGGGATGGAGAAATGTCACGGGGAGCAGAGCAGAGGTGAGCTCTGCTGAAAGAACAAGGTCGCACCGCTCTCTGCTGGGAACCTGGCTCGCATTTTAAACACCGCGCCAAGAAAATCATTTCACTTCTTTAACTAGCAATTAGCCTTGCTGGAGTTTTGACAGATGGAAGCTTAACTTTGCAGAGAAGAAAGAAAAAAAGGGAAAAGAAGAGTTTCAGTTCTGAAGGCTAAAAGAGAGAGCGAGAAAAAATGAACAGACAAAGCTACGAGACAAATGAGAGATTAAGACAGCGGAGCCAGATAAATGTGCACGGTGATGCAGTGAAGACCGACAGCTGTGTGTGAAGACAGATTGACTCAAACATTGAAGCACAGCATAAACAAAGTCTCACATTCTTGCTGTTTCCTCCTCCCAAATGTTGTTTTTTTTTAAATAACTGCAGCGAGACGCACTGTTATTCTCTACAAGACAGACAGACCAATAAACTCCAAGACAAATGGTTTTGAAATAACGAGAGATTAAGGTGCTGGTGACGGTACAGTCAATCTTATCTATAAACATGGTTTTAAATTCTAAAAACCACTAAACCACCGTGGTTTTACTGAGCAGGCAGTAAATACATCGCGTGAATCCAATTCTGATCAGTGAGGCTCTTTTATGGCACAAAGAGTTTGATCAATGTTTTCTGAACACCGACTTTCGACTCCAGAGGCTGCAGATCAAAGCAGACACAGATCAGCCATATTGATTACCTCCTGGATCAGATTCACAGTTTTCCCCGAGCAGAGTCCCCGTGATGATGTGATCTTAGCATGGCTGGATTCTGTTAGCTGGATCGACTCTTCTAGAAGAAAATGGCAAAAGCCTTGAATTTGTACAGCCTTTAAGTCCAAGGACTCAAAGCACTTCATGCTAGTCATTCACACATTCACACACTGGTGGTGGTAAGCTACATTGTAGCCACAGCTACCCTGGGGCAGACTGACAGAGGTGAGGCTGCCATACTAAGGCACCTCCGGACCCTCTGACTACTGCCAGCAGGCAAGGCAGATGAAGTGTCATGCCCAAAGACACAACYTCTGAGATGGATGGAGCAGGGGTTTGAACCAGCAACCCACTGGTTGGGAAAACTCCCATACCTTCACTGTCGCATAATAATAGATACAACACTGATGGTTCTGGCGTTGCATTAACTCAGTTTTCATTGTAATCTCAGTGTTTCCTCCTGGTATTTAGTGCTTTTCCTGCTCAAAATGCATCAATCAATTGAAAGTATGAGCTGGAAACAAAATAAAACATTACAGAAAAAAACCTTTGCTACAATAAGGGGAAAAGATGAATAAAGCAAAAATAATGTTAACAGTAAATATTTGCTGCTGCTTAAGACCCTGCCACACACTGACATTTTAGACAATTAATGCTGACTTGTGCATTAGTGGAGTGCTATGTTTATAATGCTCTTGCCACAATCTACACTCCCATCTGGAAATAACAGAACTTTCATCAGCATAGTGTGGGATTTGATATGGAGAGCAGGCATTTCTGTTGGAACTCTAAGCCTGCCAGGGGTGCGAGTAAAGGCCTATAATACGCAAATTGTCTCATTTTGTTGCCACTTGGGCAGCCACCCCAAAAATTATGATTTAATCATATGGAGTACACTTTTTATATGATGATAGGCAGATTTTTAAAAATACTTGTTCATTATTGCTTTGGTTTTCAGGGCTGTAGCCTTAGATGCTAACTAGTCGAGGTGACGACAACAATGGCAGCTCAGTGAATTACTGATCAAACCAAATAAATATTGACTTTATTAAATATTTCCTGAAATACAACCTAAATAAATCATAAAACATTAATATCAGTTTAACAAACTTCTACTCTGGAGGAGGTGATAAGTTCAGCTTCTGTAACCTCCCTTTCAGTTCTACATAGCTTGTAACCTTACAGTCTCCGTTTTAGCACAACCTTTGCGTCTGAATTTATTTTTTCCTTAAAACCCTGAGAACAGAATCACTTCTCTCTTTTTAAACTTCATTTGAAGCAAACTTTAGCTCAGTCTTCATAAATCAAGCTAACTTCAAATGTACCTTTGTTGCCACTATTCTGACCAATCGTTTGGGTTTTGTGTGAGCATGGAGTCTTTATAGAACTCCATCAGATTTACCCACTCTGCTTAAAACAGTGATTAATGTGCTCAGTATAAGCAGCAATTAAAAGACGTGTTTACTGTTTTATTTTTGCCCGTAAAAGCCTAAACCCAACACAGCTTCACCTAATTAATGTAATCCATCATTTTCTCTAAGATTACTCAGGTATTACATGATTTTACAGAGCAGCTAATTACTCTGTTTATTGGAAATATTGCTCCGTATTTTTTTTATTTTATTTTATTGCTGCTTATACTACAAAATCCATCTGGTGTTCCTCCTCTGTGGCAGAAAAGGGAAATGGTGTTCCTACAGTAGGAGTGATGAAGTTGCCACAGTTGGCTCATTTATTTGGATGGCTGAGGGTTTTTAACTGTTTCTGATATACAACTGAGCACTCACATGTCAGAGGTGGACATGAGGCATTTAGAAAGTACAACACTCTAAATATACAATATTTGAAATGAGAAGGCTTTGATCAATTAAAAATGTGATTGAATGTGTAAAATACCATTTGTCACCAAATTTGCCAGAAGACATTCAGCTGATTTCTCTGAGGCTCCTTCAGATTCAGATTCATTTATTAATSACCACACAACAAGTTGGTGGAATTTGCTTCCAGTACAGCATGACATGCTCACATCTCTGTGTCAGAACAAACAACAATACAAACAAACAAACAAAGGGTGCACTAAAAGATATTAATTAGTGATCTGATTTAGTGACCATACAGCAGCTGGGAAAAAACCGTTTTTAAATCTGTTTTTGTTGATAAGGACCTGTAGCGTTTTCCAGAAGGCATAAGTGTAAACAGATGATATGCAGGATGAGAGGGGTCTGAGATGATCTTTGTTGTTCACTTAAAGGATTGAAGACCAGAATTTACTCTTAAAACATTTCATTATATGAAGCTGTTGSTTTATTCAGCATCTTCTCAGTTATTCCCGTAACGTGAAGAGAATTGCATTTTTTCTCTACGTCTCCAGACAGKAGTAACATCACCAGAACTAGTTGATATGACAGAATAATTACAACTTTCCTGATAGTAGCAACACGTTCCTGATAACTTCTCTCCGTTGTCCCGAGATGTGCAGACCCTGGAAGCTTGTGACTTCTARMTCCTGTTTACTAAACACATGCGTCTGACGTCATTAGTACGCTTCAAGCCAGTTGATGGAAACACGTCTGATTCACATTTCTTAGTTTTTTCCGTTTTGCGAAATTGYAAAAATCCGCTCAAAGTTTGAATTAAAATTGGATGGAAACACAGCTAATGTAGGACTCTGTGATTTAAGCTGACTTTGATTTTAAAGACTTGGAAAGAGCGCTGCAGATTTTTCCAAGAAGCAGCCAAGAGTCGTTCTACTTTGTACCGTACATGTTCATAGAAGAGCACCTCATACCTCTTTCCCCTATCTTCATTAACCTAAGTTATCTTAGTTAAACATAGACATGTGGTATCTACAGAAATGTCAGAATCTTGGCTAAAATCTCATAAAAACCAATCCTATGTCCACCAGATGCTGCACAAACTTCAAGAAAACCTTTTAGGGCTTAAGAGGTTAAAAGGAAGTTAAGGATTCATCTGGTTAGAAGGACTTTTACATGCTGCTATTCATGTAGACCTCTGTTCTGGATCTTTATTTTTATTTATTTTGAAAATTGGAATAGCAGCTTAGGTTTTGCCCTTACTAATGATTCAAATTTGCCTATAGCCGAGTACCAGTAAGAAGTTTTGACATTAAACAAGACAAGGCAACTATAGAGAACGCTTGCCATCCAATAAAGCAAATAAACAGTAGATCGTATGATTCCCTGACATTAGCTGGAGGAGCTCTATAGATGGACCACTGTGGTGTCAGGAACATGTTCCACTGCATCCACCCGTTCCCCTCCCTCCTATTCACCAACACCGTACGGTAACACAGCCACTCGCTGCCATAAATTACCATTTTGTCGAGCACAAATCAGCAGCTTTGATGCAAATAAGCGTGGGTCGCAAACGACTGCTTCAAATTGCCCGTCATGTTGAATCTGAAGCCTATTCAGGTGTAGTGGATGTGATTTTTGTGGCTCACGGTGCAGAGCCAAACACAGTGTCACTGTGGCACTCCTTTTTAAAGTGGTGGTAATGATTTCTCCCAGCAGGAAGCCACTAAGTACCTCTGCTTCTTGCTGCGCCGCCGGGCTCTGAATGAACACATACTTGAGCATTAAATAAATTCTTACAGTTCTAAAGATTTTTTTTATTCTTTTGTGTTCTCTTAAGCGTATGAGCTATATGTGGTTGATGTTGTTTTTTATTTAATGAAAATGAAATGTGAACTGTTTGAAGCAGGTTCTGTTTTTGTTCAGACATAATGTTTTTTTTTATTCCAGGCTCCAGCTCCAATGGCTTTCCCCATGACCACACCACAAGTGCCTGTGTATGGAATGGTGAGTATGCACACAAAGATTTCTCCACACAAAGCTTTCTTTGTTCTTCCCTTTCTGTTTTACAGCCCCCTCACCTTCCTTCTCCCCATTTGTTTCTTGTTTGCATTAGACGACTACATTATGCTTTTTATGTAATCTGGTTATTTACCTCAAATCGCATTTTTGTACCCAAACTGGTACAAAAATGCGATGACTAAGTGTTTTTGCGTTCAAGGCAGCATGCAAGATGAATTTCTTCAAAGAATGCTGGTTTCATTGTGTCTCTGTGGCTTGTCTGCAGGTCCCTCCCCAGATGGGTCAGATGGGTGGGGTACCAGTGATGGCTCCTCAGCCAGTGATGTACAACCAGCCTGTTCTAAGACCCACCAACCCCTTTGCACCCATGCCAGGAGCCCAGGTAATGTTTCTGCACTGATATGTTTCAGATACAGACCTATCAAATGTAGAGAGAACAGGTAAAGGAAAAACATCCATGTGACGGGTTTGACAGCATCTCCACACATCACTTTTTCTGTAAGTGATTTTAGGTTTTCCAAAGAAAAGTTACCTGAACTGGACTTCTTTAAATAGTGCTGGGTAGTATAACAGTTCATATTGAAAAGCTTTATTTTCTTTTTTTATAATGGCCTAATCGACTTTCGAAACGTCTCGCCCACCAGAACACTGTTTTACAGGGACCTGAAAACACATGCAGGAAATAGAGCAGTACAAGTCAAGTTAGTCTCGTRGTTGGAGGTGTCGAAGTGTTGTACTTCGGCTGTAATGGCTCGGCTGTCAATCAGCTAAATGTATTCTGCAAGTTGTTGCCTCATGGTCCCAGTAAGAACTGTGAAAAATGTAGGTTTCAAAGCTGTGGTCAAAAAGTTGGACAGCTGCTATGTGAAGCCAAGTCGCAAATATTTTAGCCAAATAGTCAAGTCTCTTTAATATAACTGTGGTAGAAAACTTTGGTCATACTGTCTAACACTGACTTCAAGGTTCATTATCTTGTGGAATATAACAAGCATTTCTTTAAAACTTTCATATTTTTTATATCGTCCGTTCATACACTAATCAATTTTCTTTTCAAGTAAAATCGAATGAAGTTTAGATCAGCCTGTTAAGTAAATTTGTCATTATTGTGGCAATACGCAAAAAGCTTTGCTTAACTTTATGTTTTATGTGGGTTGTTTTACTGTGGATCATGCTGTTCAAGTAAAAGACCAAATGAATATCTTGACATATATTCTACATGACAGATTTCATGTAAACAAAAGGGCTCCATTCAGTTCAATCAGTTAAATCAACTGGTGTTCCCCACCTGTGTGTCCTTGGCCCCCTTCGATTCGTGTTCATCTGAGATAATTTTCATGCAGGTTTTTTCCACTTCAGTGATTAAGTAGTGCACTGTTCTGCACCTAAAAGTAACTAGGCTCACTCTTAGCATCTAATACAGTCCATTGTCCTCGGTGTGTTTTAAATCTCCTTAAAGGGATCCACGATTAGTTGTAACATTAGGCTTTATTTGATAAACATATATTTTAACTGTAAAATAAAGACTGTAAAATACTGTAGGCTGTTTAGTTTTGTAAATTTTTAAAAATATAAATATTAACATAGACGGAGCCATTTTATTTACACACAAAGCATTCTGGGTAAATGATGACGTGGATAGGTCCTCGGTGTGAGCGAGCTATATCCACCCTGAAGGTTAATCTTGGACAATATCTGATGATCGACTCTTTTAAATGAAACCAGAGAGCGTTGACTGAGAGAAGTGTGGATGGAGGACAACAAAACTGCTTCATGGAATAAGAACCTCAGCTTAGCCTGTTAGCCTTTGCGCTAGTGCCAACGCTATACTGCCTTATATGTATTAGCTTGGTGCTAGCGCAACAAACAAGCTAAACTGAGGTCCTCCATCCATATTTTCAGTTGCAGGCTGAATCATTTTTGTGTTCCCCTCTCTGTCATGTGGATGGAGGATCTCAGTGATGAGAGGAGAATGTGTAGCGCTGAGCTAATACATACTGTATATACAGTATGGTGATAGCGTCGGGGCTAACACTAAAGCTAACAGGCTAAGTTGATGTTCTTCTTCCATGAAGCAGCTCTGTTGTCCTCCATCCATATTTTCAGTTACAGGCTGAGTCATTTCTACCTTCTCCTCTCTGTCAACGCTCTCTGGTTTCATTTAAAAGAGTCYATCATCAGATATTGTCCAAGATTAACCTTCAGGGTGGATATAGCTCGCTGGCAGCCTCGCACCGATGACCTATACACGTCATTTACCCAGAATGCTTTGCGTGTAAATAAAATGGCCCCGTCCGTGTAATATATTCTTGAACCTTTAGTTTAAAAATGATTAAAAACTGAACAGCCTACAGTATTTTTACAGTCTTTATTTTACAGTTAAAATATATGTTTATTAAATAAAGTCTAATGTTATAACTAATCATGGATCCCTTTAAAGCCAGCTACGTTTGATTCTTATCAAACACAACTTTGAAGATTAGAATTGAGGTCGGCAAAATCGGACTCATTGTTAGTAATTGCTACAGTAGTTAACAGAAATAAGGCAGGACATCTGACAGGACTGCTGAGCCCATAGGTGTAATTTACGGGGGGTTGGTTATGACCCCCACAATAATTTGATCCAGTCAATATAAATGTCATCATTTGCTCAAATACAATAGAAAAGAACTAGTTATATAGCCACATGCAGTTCTCCTTGTTTTTAGGTAACTTTGACCTGATTGAAAAATTTACGATGTGTACGTTTTAGCATAATTGCTGAAAATGACACACTGGATTTTAGAGCATAACATACACACACATACACACACACACAGCACCCCCCARCCCCAATGCTAGACCTAAAGTTATGCTCTTGGCTGAGCTGAGGTCATTTAAAGAGCTGTCTGCAACAGATTCATTGTTCAGAAACTTCCCCAGAAGCCATCTGCATGGTCAAGTGAATTTTTATTTCATAGGAAATCATGCTAAGATTTTTGTAAAATTTCCGTTTATAGATATATATAATTTTAATGCTCAGAAGGTGGAAAATTGTTGGTTAAATTAAAGTTTGATAGAAACATTTGTGCTCTGTGTAGAAAACTATATCCTCCTGTGACTCCACTATATTCTGCCTCTTGTGTTTTGTATTTAATTTTCCTTTTTAACTTTTAATCTCTTTTCTTTTTTACTATTTTTGTTTTTTTCAGATGCAGTTTATGTAATCCAGTCAGGGGGAATCTGAGTGCCAAAAGCAACAAACAGAAGAAAACCAACAAGAGGACCATCAGGGGGACGGTTTGATCAAGTGAATCGACTCAGAGACAGACAAGATAACCGACAGACACCAAAACAGAAGAACGAATGGGACGATGATGACGACACGGGATGGGTGGATGGACGGAGGAAGATAGGGAGGAGGGGGGGATGAAACTATTCTGGCTGGTCTTTGTCTGAAACAGCTGCTTGCTTGTGTGAGTGGAGCTTCTCTGTTTTTGTCTTCTTTGTGTTTTGGAATCAGAAGGGGAATAAGGAGGAGATTGAGGAAATCCTACCACTGGATTGTAGTCAGACTGTGTAAAAACAGCTTGAAGAGTCTCTGCTGGAGAATTAGCTTTATTTCATACTGGTGCTATTTGTCCTCTCTGGGTTACTGTTACTGTCGGAGCACTTGGGAGCGGACAAGTGTGTGTTAGTGTGTGTTTGTGTGCAGCAGTTGTTTCAGACGTTAAAGCCACCTTCCTCTCTGTCCTCGCCTTCATTCACTGTTTGTGTTAACAGTTGTCCCTGCAGCGATTCAAGTGTATTTTTTTTTTTCAGTCTTTTTGTATTTTCATTTCATTTCCTCACCAGCGTCACCTGAAGGTCATCAGGGTTTGGGAAAAGCAATTCATGGAAGCGGTCACAGTGTCGGAGCACTTCCTGTCACGGGTTTCGAGCTAAAGTTTTCGCTTTCTCAAACAGCATAATTTTCTCCTACGGGAACATAGATGAGGCTCGGCCAAGCTTAATGCAGATTCTTATTTTCTTTTTAAAATTTTATTATTTTTTTCTAGGCTTGGTCACCAGAAAATGCATCCAACCGATTACTAGATGTAAGAAGGAAGAAGTGTAGCTAATATACTAACGGTGATTATTATTCACATCCCAGAGTTCACCTGTCCAAGGCATTATGGGTTGGAGTTCAGGTAATAAAACTAACTGATGAATCTGTCTGCAAGCAACTTATACATAAGTGTGTATACTTTTCCCTTTGTTCTATCATGGCCATTTTCTACAACAATAATAAACAATTAATTAAATCCTAACCCATWATATCTCTATATTTAACACGTTACATTAAGGCAGGAAGGTTTGTTTTGGGGGCTTCCTGTTAAAGGGATCTACACAAACACATCCCAAAGAAATTAACAGGAGCCCGTTAGCATGCTAATGTTCTGTCCGTTAGCAACCTTGCTAGCTTAGTTGCTAACATGACAAACAAAAATTATGTGCAATTTGTAGAAAAACTATCATGCTGAAACATTCCCCCATTCACAAAGAAGTTTTAACTTCAAAATGAGTAGATAAAGTAAAAACACAGCTAAAAAGTTTTTCATGTTAAGACTTTAAGARGTCCGAAGGTTAACGCTGTTAAGACAACCAATTATAGTGAATGAATATTTATTAGAGCTCAGCAATTAAACTTTAGCTGAGATTATGTCACCATCTTGATTGTCCCACAAAGAAACAAAAGACCCATTCTGTAAATGCAACAGAGCGTTTGACCACCTGGAAGGCAGGTGAGGTGTCTCCCTGAGCTGCCATGTTTGGAGATGCAAAAATGTGAAGAAGTACAAGAATCTTAAAAAAATAAAATAAAATAGACAAATTATCACATATACAGCTATTAAAAATGTGGAAACCAAACATAAGAGTTCAAAAAGATTTCAGGGTTTTGTTTCTTTTTGAAACTGGTTTAATATTCCAGCAAAACCAGAGCGAATACCTTTAGCCTGTTWGGAAACCTTCTCTCAAATGTTCTTCTAAARTAGGGATGCACAGATATGAAAATTTCAGCCAATATCGATATCCAATATAATTATTGCTGTTATGGCCGATAACCGATATTTACTGATATTACATAAACACACAAATTATTTATGTAAATATACACACAAACACACTTGGACCTTTTTTTTGATACTGGAAATAAACGACCAGACCTCTGACATGGCTSTACTTCAGTTATTCCTGGCTGCGCAGCATCAATATCACTATCATGATCAAACAGATACCAATCAAAACAAACATTTCACCTCTAAAAACAGAAACACAAAACTAAAAAGTGGGAAATCAATATCGGATATTATTGGCCCAGTTTTACATATTAAGCAGATACTGATATAAAAAAAATTACCAGTATCGCCGATCCCAATGTTAATGCTGACATATTGTGCATCCCTGTTCAAAAACACGTTACCAACAACTGCACCTCAGAGAGACGGGTTTAAATTTATAAAATGTGTTTTTATGGCAAAGAATTTTACTGCCAAGATAACTGGTCCAATCTTTGTTGAATGGTAGCAAGGTAACCTGTGGTGATCTGTACAAATTTCTAAAATAGGAGCTCTTTTTTTCTTACTTTTTTTGATGCCACCTTGTGGTGGATCCACATCATGAGATGGATGATCGCAGCAGCACTGAGGGAACTTTGTGTGACTAAATCGCATTAAATTCACTTTAAATTGCACTGAAGCAGAGTGAGGCGCACCGAGCCAAGGAGCTCCCAACGCCGTGGCTCCAGCCAACGTTGGGGGTCTAGATTTGAGTCATGGAAGACGTCATGGCCGCTCCTCAGCCAGAACATCCGTCCCCCACCCCCATGAGCTCAGATTTGTGTAAATGCACTCTGAGGTGTGCTCACGCAGTAATGCTTTACACACGTTTGTGTATGTTTTTCCATCGAGGGCTATTTCTAAGGGTCAAATTTCAAGACAAACTTGAGCCCAAGAGTTTCATATGATTTTTTTTTTCAATATCAAAAATGTTGCAAAAATGCACATGCAGAAATGTTGCACTGAAGTGGCGATCTTGTAGTAATCATTTTCTTTGGTGTGAAAACGTTAGATAAGAAATTCGTAAGTAGTTTTTTTGGGTGTTAACATATAGCACGTTTTGTTTGATTTACAACCCACTTTGTTGAGAAACTGAACGATGTTTTCCTGCCACTCTAACAWAGAACTTGAAGCTTTTTTGTAATCCTGGTCCCAACCTAGCCTTACATCCCGCCCAGAATCGAACCCATCGTCCAATCTGCTGTGAAATCTCCAGAATGTCGCTTCAGTCTTTCTAGTCTAGTCGGTCTATCTCCAGAAGCCTTTCTGTTGGCCTGTTSGCTCTGTATTTAGTCTGTGTAGATATGTAAAATGCTTCCAGTTACCAGTTTCTGTGTAGATTGTCTCACCTGTCACTGTCACGGTCCGTAGACGCTTCTTGTCAGTCTTGCGTTAGCTTAGCCTCTCCTCTTATTAAACCCCCTGAAACCTGCAGAGGTAGGGTTTTTTTCCCTCATCCCAACTTCTACTGGTGTCTCTAGAATCGATAGCTCTGTTATCCCTGTCGTGTCTCTGTCCAGTAGCTGTAGATAAAACATTTCAGAGGCTTTTTGACTCATGGTTTCCTTCTGTCAAGCTCTGCGTAAGGTCTTTTTTTAAATCTTGGTATTAACATTGTTCAAGTGTTTGTAGGTAGTGCTTTTTTAGACGATAATTCTTCATTCATCCCAATCCTGCCTCGTTACGATGTCAGCAGCCTGCAAACTGTCTTTGGTAAAGCACACTCTTTAATAACGAGCTTTTCTGATGCTTTTCTCAACTTGAGTCATCAATGTGAGTTAAGATTTATTTTCCCTCTATATTTTATTCTCAGTGTTGATAATGGAGAAATCTTGGAACAATTGCGCCCACTTTCCAACACGTAACGTTTTCAGAAGCTCAGTCAGATTATCAGCGTTATGAACATTTCCGAGCTTTAAAAGCTTCTAAGAACTATTATGTAATCAACGTTTTATTTCCTGTGAGATGTCGAGGTTAACTGGTGCCGTTTCTAGGCTATAGAAGAAAAGATCAGCTATAAAAAGTTGAAGTTGTTTAACTTTAATTTCAGTTATTCACAGTAAAAAGAACAGATCTGAATTTGACATAAATTTGTAATTTGTTTTGAAGGTGCATTGCTAAACTTATGCTAAAGTAACACAGAATAATATCTAGTAAAGAATTTAAATGGTGTATACCATTTAAAAATGTCCACTGGAATGAAAAGTAAAATGAGTCTATGGAGGTAAATTAGGGTCATAAATTTTGTACAAAAATAGTTTGAAACGGATATTTTTGATTGTCGATATTCTGTTTTTGTGATTATGATTATTATATTCTTTACCCCACTGAGATTTGTGCCACGTTTTTAGATATCAGAGAAACTTTTTTAAAAAAACCAATCACATAATCATAGAATATTGCTGTTTTAAATACATTTCTGCTTCCTGGTTCCTGAATGCAACAGCTGGGAATATTTTGTTCAGAAGTTTGAAACTTAAAAAAAATAGAATTACAAGTAGTTTTGCATGACTGTATTAGGGCCACACTACAAGATTTTGTTATGAGATTAAAGTGACATAATATGAATAGTGGTAATTTTTTTAGAAGAAAGTTTTAATGAGAAAAAAGGTTACGTTACGAGAAAAATTTAACATAAGAATAGTCGTAATTTTATGAGAATTAAGTCGTAACATTGAGAGAATAAAGTTGTAATAGTATGAGAGTTAGTATGAGAGTTATAGCGTAATACTACAAGAGTAAAGTCGTAATATTACGAGTTTCAAAAAAAATTTGAACAAACTTTATTGCCCCAATTTAGCTCCATAGAACCTTAAAGACCTAATTTAAGCCTTGAAATGTGTTCAAAGGTTTGTGGAAACTTGATCTAACCTGTCCGAATTTGAGTAAATATGACTTCAATAGATCAAATTTCTTTTATCACTTATCGTTTACTCAAAAGACTTAAAAAGTAGAGGTGGAAATGACCGAATCYTCTGATTTGATCAACCGTAAGGATTTCAGCAGTTGCTCGGCTTTTGTTCAGAGCTACATTAAGTATTTCAGAATAAAAGTTTTGATATTTGAAACTTAAACTTTGTAAGAAAAAGACGACACAGGAAAGGCGGAGCTCCTCCATCGTCTAAATATTTCTGGCTGAGCTTCACTCCAGCTCCATTTTAGACTCATGATCATGTTTTTCTAGTGGCTCTTCATCCTTTGGGCCAAAATAAAACATWATCAAGCTTCTTGTTTAATTTCTGTCCTACAGTTGAGCCACTTTGGTGGTACAGATCCAGGACCAGGAGATCTTAAAGGTCTACCTGCCATGTGTTAGCTTTGTTCTGGGCTTCAAGGTGTTTCACTTTCTTTCTGCAGTGTTTCTTGTACAGTTTGACGCCCTGGAATCCAGGGATGTTTGTTGGAGTCAGATTTTCTTCGCGAGTCTCAGGTGGTTCCTCAGTGATCAAACATGGAAGCTGGTCCATCTGGTCTGGTTCGTGTCCTCGTCTCTTCTGTTGAAACTGCCAGTGATTCTAACAGTTTTTTATCATGAAGGTCCTTTATTTTTCAGGGAATGGTTTAGGCACCTTCCTTCCCTTTGAGCTCATATTTGCAGCATGCAGTTTACCGTACTTTCACCGTTTTCTGGTGTTTTTCCCCGTTCATTTGGGGATCAGCCATGAGGCTAACCCCAAACGTTTTTTTGGACTCTTAAAGCTGCTAACCCCCCCTGGCACTGTCACAGAATCCAGGTGGTTGGAAGATCAACCTTGATGTGGTCACGAAGCAGACCCCTCTGGTAAACCGTTTTTTCTTCACGTGGATGTATTTTTGTCGCTGTTGACCAAAAAGGCACGAAATGACAGTCCTTTTTTCAAACACATTGCAAAAAACGATTGATCCAACTCGACCAATCTTTCACCGTCCAGGATAGCAACTATTTGGGCTAGAGACGATAGATATTTTATACTTAATAAATGAGCCAGTCCAGCAAAAAGAATTGCCAAACATTCTTCTGTCTTTTTTTTTTTTTTTCAGTTTTTCCAAAGATCTCTCGTTTCTTATCTGGTTTAGCGGCGGCGCTGTCAGCCATGTAGCCACGTGTCAAAACCTGCAGCTGGAAATTTAAGGAACCACGATGGAGGCTTTGACCGCTTGTTTTTGTTCGTGACTTTGTGTATTGAATCAAAGACTTCTCGTGCACGTTCAGTTTATTTTCCTTAACGTGC